AGAAACCTGGCCGCTGCGCGCCGAGGACGTCAAAAGACTTTCAGTGTTTGACCACCGATGTCTTCGGAGCGTTGCCCGAATCTGGTGGGAACACCGGATCAGCAATTCTGAAGTACGTCGAATGGTATTCGGGAGAAATAACTCACCCTCGACAGATGAACTGATCACACTGCACAGGTTGCGCTGGCTTGGCCACGTGCTGCGTATGTCAGTCGACCGACTTCCTCGAAGGGCTCTTTTCGCACAACCACGTGAAGGGTGGAAGAGAGCCAGAGGCGGTCAAACAATGACTTGGCAGCGAAGTGTGAAAGCCATTACCAGCAAACTCAGCTGGGCTGGTAATTCCCGTCTTCGTGGATGGAGACCCCGAGACGGGCCACATCAATGGCTGGAGACATTGTCAGACATGGCCAAGTCGCGCCCTCAATGGCGCTCGTGCATCAAAGCTATTGCCTTCAATGCCTCCCTCCTTTTCCAACCCCCCACTTGACAGCCCACTGATATTGCTGGATTTATGCAGCTCGCGCCTGCAATGCGCAGCTACTTCCTTCTCCAAACGCGCCTGCAATGCGCAGCTACTTACCCCCTTCTCCAAATCATCGGTGAACGGAACTGCGGCAGCTGCAACCACTGTACGACGAGTACGCGGATGAAACAGTTCTACAGTGCCTCTAGGCTTTTCGGCATGGATTGACTTCATTTATAAGGCAACATTTCGACTGAGAAATCATAAAATCTCTATACTATCAACAAAGTTAACATAACTGCAGCATTTTATTACATACAAGAGTGGAAGAAAGTAAGTTCATAGTTGGGGTTTACACAGTAATTAGTCGCCATCGGTGAGTGATAGCAATGTGACCTCTATTATGGTCCGGGGCTTGACCCTCAGTTGGTATCGTGCGGTCAAAGAGTTAAAAGAGTACACGAAACGATATACACGAAATAATAATCGCTCAGCTGCGACACTTAATCAGAAAGAAAGACAGGATTCGACTTTCTCAGGCGGTGAATGGTGAGGTTGACACAGCAGGCCAGACGAACTGTGGCTGAAGTAGCCAGCTCATTGTATCATTTGCAGATGTGAGCTGAGAGTTTGCTTTTCGTCTCTAAATGATGAGTCTGTTCTTGGATACGTCTGCGCCAGTTTTTGGTACATACGCAGACAACTATCTAGTAGCCGTTCCGCCTCCTGTTTGTTTTGCAGGAGCCTTTGATTCTCATTTTAGGCTCAGCTCTTGGTACAGAACCTGTCAAGCAGCGCAGCATCAGCCTCATCACTTAGGTTGATAATAACACCCTACTATCAATTCATCGTTCAGCTGTACCATCATTTCGGTGCCTAACTACCATGCCACCAGAAGAAAGCGCGAGGGGTGGGATACTACCAGGTTGCCCAAGCCTAGACAGGGAAAGTTGAGAGGCAGAAGTGGAGTTCGAACCACCAACCTTCCGGTCAGTAAATTTGTGCTCCAACCATTTAGCCGCCTCCCCCCTCGGGACCTTTGGATGGTTGCACCTGATATGTTCCGTTGGCGTAGGAAAGGTCGATTGTGTGACGGAACCGCAATCTCGGATTCACGTATTCAGGCAGCATGTATTTAACGGATGTCAAGGATGTCTTGGTGGTGCCACCGCTTGTTCACCAAAAATGTCTTGTTTACACCTAACTTCTCAGCAAGGCAGCGACACGCTCGTTCCCGGGATTCTCCTACAGATGTTACTGAACGAACCGTGTGGAGGTCGCTATCAGCAGGTGCCCAGTCAAGAAGCGATGCTTCTGCTTGAGCTGTGACTTCAATTCTCACTTGCACGACATCCACCCACGACGGCTCACGTGTTACTAGTGGTGTGCAAGCAGAAGCAGGAGGAATGACAAGGCGTTCATTTACTCTGACTTCTGGATTCCCGATTCTGACGAACATATGTGGGTACCTGAATGTAGTCCAAAACAGCATGCTATCCTGCTTGTTTCAAGACACGAATAACAGTCCTAGCTGAATGCACCGGTATGACAAGTTAGACAGTGGATTTCCACGTGTTAAGGGTCACTATTTTAGATGGGTCTGTTGCTGAGTGTTATCCATGCAGAACAAAGCCGTCGGTCCTATTTATGGGACTCGGGTAGAGAAAGAGGGAGGCTTGAATTGGCTTGGTTAGAGGATAAGAAGAAATAAGTGAGTTCGGGAACAGTACTATCAATGGCATGCTTTCACTCACCCTGCTGTGTGCATCATGTAAAGCGACATGGTTGATGTGGCGTGAAATTGGTTGTGGAGTTCCCCGTTTTACTCCAGTTGGGATGACGCATGAGCGTCCAACCCTAGAACGGTGTACGTTATTACATCAAACAGATTCCATGGTAAATAAAATACAACAATCGTTCAACCGTAACATACTTTCGGTGTGTAGCTGCCGTGTCACTCCAAAGGAAGGGCGAGGGCTGAGATGCTGCAATGTTACCTAAACCTAGACAGCAGCAGTCAAGTTGTCGGGGTTGGTTCTATACCAGGAAGCTTTCGGTCAACAAGTCCGAACCCTAACCACTTAGCTATATTGAGCTCGACTTTATTTTTGTCTGTTTCTCTTTTGGTTGGAGTTTTCCCTCACGTAAGTACTTTTTCCATTTTCAGCCTCATCATCAGAGTCTGAATTACATGCTACCAATTACAAAGTCGTAAAGGGAACGCTATGTCACGAAACGAATTTGATCCTCTCTGGATGGACATGGTTTAATGGCGTTTACTTCGACTGTTTGTCTAGTAGTCGATGGACAGCCGCCATCGCCATCAAGAATACCGGAAACAGAAGCAGCAGCAACCGGTCATTCCGTGGGACTCCAGAATGGTGGCTGAAGTGGATGTTGTTTGTCGTTCGAAGGTCCCCCATATCCCAGAGTGCGATATCGATGCATATGCGCCACCATCCCTGTCAGAATATGAAGTAAGCACGCATGTTTTAGTTCATTCTTCGTTCCCAGTCCATGCATAATTTTTCTGTCCAATCGTATGTCAGTTTTCATCTCTTCATTTTCTCATCGATCAACACCGTGGCTAGTGAAATAGGCTGGTGTGAAGGTTGTTTTTGAGGATTTATTTCTAAAGTGGTTACACGGTTCTATCAGTTCATTCAGACGTCCACCCAACGCCCTAGTACAGATGTCTTTCGATATATTCCTTGTGTGCATTAATAATCTTATCATTTTCATGGTATAATCTGTTATCTGACAATAACACCCATGTTTCTAATTTGAACGGTTTGTCGTCTGTCGTGCACAATTGTTCAATTTTTTGCCTAATATCTGTAGGCACTGGTCCATACTGTCTCTTAACCACACGATATTCGCGCTGATGACCTCAAAAATACCGGTTTACTCCACTAGTGCTTCTAAGCAGTGCCGTATCGCATAAAGACTGTAATACGAACCTTTGCTTGCAGTCAATTCCTGATATAACAATCGCCGCAGACTAAGATTTCCCATATTTGAGGACTTTGTGACTCCAAGTAGATAAGGTTTATCCTGAATCTCCCATGATTCAGCAAAATCCCAGACACGAGGTTCCAGCTCCGTGTCTATGCATCAAGATCAGTATGAACCTTATTCTGAATGTGAACAGTTGATTACCTGGATTGTTATGAACTTGAATACTTCAGGCATCAAACTAAATTGATGTTATCATCGATTTGCAGTGCTTTTCCTGGAGTAGCTATCTCCAGGGTCTGCATTCCGCGCACCTGCTACCGAGTTTCTTGGGACACAAAACTGCGGTAAGAATTGGTTACGTTCCCCCTGATAACTATCTCCAGGGTCTGCATTCCGCGCACCTGCTACCGAGTTTCTTGGGACACAAAACTGCGGTAAGAATTGGTTAACGTCCCACATGATAATAAATCTGCACAAAGATGTTTGTTGCGATTGGAACCTGGGGTCATAGATTTCTACCCAGTCATAAATACATGCCTAGTTTCTCTGTCATTTTCTCAAGTAAATTATTCAACAAAGGCACTCATAACCACGCATGAATAGGTCTCTTGAACGTTGCGCTCTACATTTTCTACTTTACAGTATGACTTTATTTTGGAACGTCAGATCCTAGCAGACTACGAGCAATATTGGGATCAGAAACGGTGTGTCGAATGTTCCCCTCCTGTGTCGCTTAGTAATCCTACCGATCACCCATCTAGCCCCAGGATAGGTTCTAGTACACCAACAGCTGCCATTTGTCCGCAACCGGTCGCCGTAACGACAACTTCTACTGAACCGGATAAGAGTGACCCCCAGTCAAAAGTTGCAGTTCCATCGGACAGCTCAGCAAAAATAGATAAAGCCGAACCCATTCCAGAGCCCCTACCAAACATGCCCGTAGCTGCCAGACACTTACTCTCCGGACGCGTTTTGCAACCAGATCGAACCGTGACGAATTCTACATCAATGACCCCCGGCGAACCCTCTCTCCTGAACGTCTCAAAGCATGTGCCTGAATCTACCGTGTACCTGCGTGATTTTGATACCGGTCCAGATGATCCTTTTGCAAACGCGGAACTAAAAACAATCAATGATCTTGAGGAATTGCGCAACGTTCTACTTTCCAGTCCAGTGAACACCCGGGATACACAATCCACACTAAAGCAGCACACAGGGCAACTGACTCCCCCTTCCACGGTTATTGTACAGGATGGGTTTTCTACGTCTCCTCCGATTAACCATCCATCACCTTCGAACGAACAGTCTATTCAGTATCCGCGCGCCCCACCACCATTTCGTCCATTGGCCTTGAATTTCACCACAAGCGGTTTCTCTCCTGCTTTCCATCCCAAATTTACACCTCACCAGTCGCTGCAAGTCGGCTCTATGAGTGGGACCAATGCGGCCAATGCATTGAACGGATTGGGAGTGCTCCCTGGACGTTCCCTTTCTTCTTCGGTACCGAACTTCGAGGTAAGTCAAGCCGTAACTGTTAGTGGTTTTTCGGACTGCATTGAAGAAACATCCAATCCTAGTGAGAGATGATATCGTTAACCCTGCTTGTTACTGGTCACTTGGTAGTCTGACTCGGTCCTTTCCGACTATTCTTCCCCCTCGGAAGCCGTTCGACGCTTGGTTTTCAATCGAGACACTGGTCATTCAGGGATCATTGTATTCTGTTCAAATGAAGCTCAGCATTGTTTGAGCTACTGGTCAGCACTGCCCGAACACTTTCTTTCGGTAGTGATTTCACAGAAAACGTTGTTGACGTTGAAAAGCTCACTTCAACCTTAACTTATACAGTACGGTGCATGTCGTGACTTTTCTTGATGCGCAGTATTTCTGCGACTACTATGGGGTGAGTAAACCACGGCATACATGGGCATATATGAGGATGTGATATGGCCAAGTGTCTGAATAAATGGAAGAGCTTTAAGGTCCGTGACGAACGTTGACTTTAGGCAACTCAAGGTATCGAAGTGTCGTTCTTGACGTAACACACTACTTTCAAGGTTGCATAATATCCTCCAGCCGGTTCTGTTCTCCGCTCAGAACGTTCGGTTAAAGTGTGCAATAAACGAGAGAATCAGCTGCGATCCAGTTGATTTTTTGGTTTAGAACGACTCAACTTGCAATCGAGTGTTTAATTCCATTACATGCCTTTTGCTGTTCAAGTAGGCAATCAGAACTTCGGAGTCACAGTGATCTTTGAACTACTGAAAGTGATCTGTCCTCAAGAAGCCTTTCCTGTTGAGACTGTGGAGACAGTCTACCTCAAACCTGACAGACTTTCTCCTTCCTTACTGAAATGGTTTCGGCGGAGAGGGCCTTCAATATTGGACGACGGCTGGAAATCTGATTGGTTAACAGATCAGATAAAGACCGAAATTATTTGATCAGATAAGATTTATGTTTACAATCTGGCTTACTACTTTAGCGGAAACTGACATCGTGCGTATACCATCCATAGTTTTGTACTGCTGCCTTTGGCTGTCATTCCTGGTCTGTTGTTACAGATTCTCACAACAAACAGTGCTTGGTTAAGCTCTAACTACTAACTTACCAACTTCACTATTTGAAAGTTCTTATCAGCACCGACCGAAACGGGAGTTTTACAAAACGCTATTCTTTCTACGCTCATTTTGCCTTGTCGTCTCAGGTCGTCTCAGGTCCGAACGTTTTCCAAAATTCGATGAATTTCTGTTTGTTGCTCTCAGACAGATAGCACGATCCGTTCCTTTAAATCTCACTCAAATCTGTTGTTACATGGGTTCCTTCCCAAATGGATTCACTGTTTCACTGTCCTATTCCCTGGCGTCTTGGAGATTTGCCGAAGTATTTCTAAACGTAGTGAACTCTTCAGGGTATTCTTAGGTAACTTCGAGTGTATTTTGATGTCTTATGGTCAGCGAGCACCGTAACGCTTGTTGGGCGGCCAGCCTTCTATTCACCTTTGGACAGCGTAGTGGTTATAGAACGGCTTCTCGTGCGGCAAACTTGTGGATCGCTTCACGCACGTTCTACCCTGACTCTATCGAAAACTTCTGTTCGTCTTGGTCATTCAATAACAACAGTTTAAGTCATCCATACAAAAGGGCTTACCGACTGATTCCGCCATGTGTTGCATACACGTTCACACAAAGACTACACACATTCATCAGTCCTCTCTTTCTATCGGATAGGACACAAACTCTCCGTCGCCTGGTCTGATGAGTCTTCCATCAAAAAGACAATGAAAGCAACAAATACCTGTTATTGAGTTGCCATGGTGACTGGTTTTGCGCTCACTCTTTGCATCAGTTGCTATAGTCCAATAAGTCAGGTAGCCGTGGGGACAATAGCTATGGGTGTGACTATCGTTCTAAGGTTTATAGATCCTTGTATGACTACTATCGTCCTCGTATACTAGTGTGAAGACTCTTTGTGCAAGTCAGTGTTGTGTGCGAATTGAAATTTTCTGCATTGCGGCAACAACCACTCCGACCACTTCAGCAAAGAGTTATTGGACCCCCGGAGGCATTGATTCGAAGTATCATGACTGCCATCCAACTTGATCATCCGCCTAGCATACTGAAACAGTTGAAATGCGAATTCCAAGTTAACGTAGTGTGGCTGAGACGGAAGACACTAAATGAATGGAGCAGAGTTGAGTGAAACCGCCGCCTACTGGATGTGTGCTCTGCCTATCGGGCTATCGTACACGCTATCCCCCACACCACACCCTATCTATTGACCTTCGTATTTGACTCGTCATACATATCTCATGGACGAACAGCCGAAGGCCGTTAGTGTTCCTAATGACCGTGTATCTCCCACCCGGCCAATCGTTTAAACTGATGAGTTCCGATCAGTCCTAGAAAGCCTAGGGTTTCATCTTGAGTCTGTATGAAAATGATGATGATGTTTATGCTTTTAAGGCTATTGATGCGGTTGTGGCCGTTTCATCAAGGGTCAAATGAAGACAAATATACACCTACTTAGTTTTCCAACCATAGTGATGTTTCAGTGAAGTTACCAACTCTTGGATTGCCTTGTCTTCTGATCCCAACTCAACACTCGGCGGCTACCTACGCGTCCTGGTAACAAACTGGACAAAAATAATACCGGTTGGGTTGCTTCCTTGGTCGAAACCTAGACTGACCGCTGTCCTCTCTAGAAACGGCTTTTCCAGACAGGTAATGCCCATAAATCTAAACGTTTGTGACCTTACTAGTGTGACTGCCTAGCTCGACCACTTAATGCAGCGGACATCTCCTCGGCACTGCGCCATATTTTTGTGCCCCTGAGGCTCACGGAACAAAAACTTTCGTATATTTCATGCCTGTAAGACATTTCTGCTTCACAAAGCAGTAGAAACTATTCTCTCGCTGATGACTTTCGGAATCTAGCTTTTGTCTTGTCAAACCTCCCTTGAGAGCGTCTGGTGTGTTCTCTGGACCATCGCTTTTGTTGCTTTTCATCATCTCCCTCATTCATTCAGGCTGCAGGTTTGACTGAACGTCCGAATTCTGTAGCCGGAGTAGTGTTGTCCACTAATCCCCACCCATCCATTCCCAACAAGTCGATCCACGCATTTGAACCGCGGTTACCTACCGGTGCTTCACAACAACGATCAGGTTTTCCTCAACCTGTTGCCCGTACTCCTGCGGAGCTCGACGCTCTGGTTGGGATGCTGATTGATTGGACCAAGCAGGCTGGTTGGCCCGAAAGCAGAGCACGTAGTCTATTACAGATTCCACAGAACAGGGCACGTAAGTCCATCTTTTATCTATTGCTGTATTTCACAATCAGCAGTTTGTCCGTTCACTGTCTAGCCCTCGCTCCCGCGTTGCGTACGTTTTTTTTAGAACATTTTGGATACCCTGATGGATCCTTCTGCGCCTATTTTGGGTCGCTATTTCTACTTCATGTATTTTGAGCAGCTTTTGTTTTTCTTGCACATAGCTACCACGCCGTCGGGTTACTTAATTCTCAAGTTCTGAGCGCTGCTAAGACCTGTATTTGGAGATGTGCCTCCGAACCTCACGCCGTCACTTCCTATCTACGGTAACGCCTTAAAAATTAGACTGGGTCTAGTGAGAATTTGCCAGGTTCTGTAATATGGTTCCAAATGAACTTAATATGAACAGTAGTATTAAGAATCAAGGTTGTGCGCCATTTTCTGGCTAAACGAATTCCTCCACGCATTGGCCAGCGCGTCAGACTTTTAATCATTGTTTCCAGACAATGTTTTCAGGAAACCTGCTACACTGTGTCTGGGTCCCTAAACAAATGATACTGGATTGTGGGTCAGATTCGTGAGTGAAAGGTTCAGGATAAAATGTTTCACATCTCCCCTTCGTTGATTTGGGTAAACGGGAAGTGACCCCCGGCAACAGAAAGTGCGCTGGCGGTAATGTCGGGATACCTTCTCATTCATATTTGTACAAGAACTGTGATGCTCTTTCGGCGATCTCAGATAGAGATGCACTGAGCTTTCAGACCAGTTCAAAGCAGTGACGGCTGACCTCAACTTCAAGTTGGATTGCTTTTCCAGAAGCGTTTCGACAAACTATTTCTGATATCGAACCCGGAGGAGAAATGGTTTGTATTCTTCTTGGCTCTGTCTGCTGCTCTGCGCGGCTCGAGTGTCTCCCACATAATGTAACCTTATGTAGTGTGAAGTTGTGGATACTTTTACCCCAGTTTGAAATGATTGATTCCACGGGATCGTTCAGCTGCACCACCCTTTCGGTGCCTAGCTGCCATGCCACCCGAAGGAAGCACGGGGGCTGGGATACTGCCAGGTTGCCCAAGCCTAGACAAGGGAAGTCGGGAGGCACAGGTCGAGTTCGAACCACGAACCTTCCTGTCAGTAAATTCGCACTCTAACCACTTGGTCCGTCTCGCTCCTATTCCACGGGATGCTATCAAAGCATCCACTTGTTCCCCTTATTCATGTCTAATTCCGCTGAGCACAAGTTGTCAGTCTGATCATCGGTTCAGTGTTGTATTCATAAAGTAACTGCTGTGTTAGTAGGCAACTAGTGGGTATTTTCATGTCAATATGGGACAGCTCATTCACTGCCGGTCACACTTGGTGGCCATGTCTACTCAGGAGTCGTTTCAAGGTAAGCAACTCTAACCAGTCTCCGTTCGTCACGACCTTTCACTGCCATTGTGCTTATGCGCTGACCTAGTGAGGTTTGTCTTTGATTCCTGTCGGGAATTCGCATTAGCGCATCGTGCAAAGGAGCACCTTTGCCTCAGCTGTGCTATCGAAGGCGCGGAAAAATTAGTTGTTTATTTGCTGATTCACAACGGATTATTCAGCAGACATCTGTCAGGTGTTGTAGCGCACCTCGTTGTAGTTGAGCTGGTGGGCTGGCGGGCGGTAGTCGTTTGAGAACGGTGGGAAATGCTTGAGAAGTATGATGCAGAAAAAGCACCATGTAGCTGAAAATCAGCTAGTTTCTTTGCACGCAAGGCATACCACCACTGACATACAGTTTCGACCTTCTTCCTACATTTTAGCGTGGCGTAGTCGTGGGTTGTGTATTAATTGCTAAAAACGCTATTTAACCCCTAGATTTGTGTTACCCTGGTTAACATAGATGCAATTATTAACTCGACGCTTTGTCGAGGTACGTCCTCCAGGATTTGCTGGAGTAATTTCTTCATTGCCCTGTACATGCCTGACCTGTGTGGAACGGCTTCATTTCGTTACGTTTCTTCTCACCGTAGTATTCAAACACTGTGTTTTTAGCTCTCTCTAACAACGACTTAAAGCTCTCAAAACTTGCAGTGGCTCATCTCTAAGAGAAAATCGGGGTCGTCTCTCGGGTTGACACTAGTCTGGATTATCGGAATAAACCTAATAGTAGGGAATGGACATAAATCGTCTGTCAACAAAATCCTTGGCCAACAAAAGCTACCCTGTACCGTTATCGCAAGTACTTTTGTGGCCTTCGGTAGTCGACTGACAGAAACACGTGAGTCAGTGCTTTGTGATCAGACACATCGTTGTCACGTGATACATAGTACCGATTGGATATATCTTCCAGTCCGTGAAGGTAGATAATTGTTGCATCTGTTCTACCCTGTCCGTACTTCCAGATTCTCGTCCCCCATGCCAACCATGTAGGTTGCAAAGTAGATCGGGCGCTGTAAAATAAAGATACATCATGTTGGATAAATCTATCAACTGATTTTTTTTGCAACAATGTTTGAGGTGTGTTCGGATGAACTGACCGCCGAATAATAGGTATCAGGCTTACTCCTGGGTTGTACCATCTCTGATTAGGTCACAAACGTTTCATCGCTAGGTAGGTTGATATTTTGTGTTGTTGTTTTCATGTGTGTTACCTTAATTTACTTCAATTTAACCTGCTCAGTAATACCTAGGTTTAAAATAAAAAATCGTTCAGCTGTAGCACCCTTCCAGGGCCTAGCTGCCATGCTCCTCGAAGGAAGCACTAAGGCTGGGATACTGCCAGGTTGCGCAAGCCTAGACAGGGGAAGTCGAGAGACGGAGGTCGAGTTCGAACCACGAACCTTCCGGTCAGTGAATTCGCGCTCTAACCAGTTGAGCCATCTCGCCACCTAGGTTTACCACCCATGAGGTTATCGGCTGAGGAAGTTTTTTGGTGGAACAATTTCGATTGATGGCCGGCCCAACCTAGCGAACAGACTGATGGTTGTCGAAGCCACTGACATTCCCCTCAGCTGAAACTTTGAATTTCCAATGTGTGTTCTGAAGTGCGGCAGTCGATTGCAACTGTGTGACTAGGGTGTCAGTAAATGAATGGTTCTTCCGTCGCATCAGGTAGCTCTTCATAAGTGATGGCTGAGTTTTGCAGGACAAGCACTGTCTTGTTCCAAGAGCCAATGTTCATTCGCCTCAAACAGGTGACCACTCTGTCAAGCTGAACCGCATGCGCTATTGGCAATTAGCAACAGGGATCAACTTACTCATGTTCTCATATATTGTAGATTAAACCAGTTTCTGAGTTGTAATTTCAGAAGCCTGTGGCAATCCACAAGTAATCGCACTTTTCACTAAAATTGTCACGTGGGGGTGACGGATAACTTCATAAATATGTTTACATCGCGCTTAGATGCTGAGTACAGGGCGTGTTTTGTTCGTGGAGGTTGATCCGCAAAGACCAACCTCATACGTTATTGATGCGAAATCCTCGTTTTTTATATTGCAAACACCGCTGTTCTCCTCTCTTTCATACCTTTTTGGATGTTCAAATCTGTTCGGCCATGATTGATCTACTCTCTGATTGGCTCTACGATACTTGGACCTTTCGGACTTCCTTTGTTCGAATTCGCCGGTTGTTTTAAACTGTAGTATGGTCTAGTATATTATAGTCTCTATACTAAACACGATGACCCGATGGGAACTTGGGTGAATTCCGTCGGACTGATTAAACGTCCTGTTAACCTGCAATCCAGATACTTTTAAATTCTGCTTTTAGTGCACCAATGCCAAGACTGTTTTGTTGAACGTTGGTTTATGTGGCTTCAACCCAACAGTTGTTTGAGGCAACTTTCGAGGCATTCTTTTTGCTCCTCCTTCGCAGGCTTTTCTCACCTGACACTGGACAAGGCCAAGCAGCAATTGGCCGAACAATTGCATCTTGTACAATTACTCCTGAACGAATACGCTCCGGTTGGTGGCTCTTCAAATCGCCTGTCCGAACAGACAGCAGTCGTCGCGGTCTCTGCTTTTCCCCACGACTTCCTCAAGGTGCGTCTTTGCTTGTATCTTCATTTTCTCGCACCAATGAAATTCAGCAATATTGTTTCATTTATTCTTCTGGATTCTGAATGATGAAGCTACTTCCGTTAAACAGTAAAACCCCTCAGGTCCGTGTGCTTTGCACGCATACCGTGATCAATCAGCACAGTCTCTTACACGGTAGTTGCTTAGACGAAGGAAAGAAACCTTATGCTAGGTAAATTTTGCAAAATCAAAAACAGAAAGAATATAGTGTTTGACTAAATTCAAGCTTCAAAGTTCCGATCTTGTCTCTGAGGTATTGGTGAATGACAGAGTCTAAGACGGTGCAATGCATCCAGTATTGCTTTATGGTAATGGCAGTTGACTACGGCGCGTTGGACATCCGCTTGCCTTTGATTATTCCGCAGATGTCTTGGGATTTCGTGTTCTCAGTTCTGCACGAGGAAGTAGGGGGAATCCTAATTCCAGTGGTTTGGACGTAGTTGATCGTCCTAGGAACTCAACGGTGATTGTAATAGTCCTTCGTTCACCACAGGTTCCTTTTCTAACAAAGGCCAGTTCTATGGATTTCCCAAAAACAGTCGGTACTGTGGTCATGGCCACAAGTGGCACAAACGGGCAAATGTGATCCTGGCCTGTGAGATTAACGCAGAGAATCTGTTTGTTGCACCGTCTGATCTGATGCATCTTCCGAGTTTCACGACTTCCGTTGTCTCTCGGGTTTGAAGAGGTGTGTACTGCAGCGTAGCTCAACAGTTGGCTTACCTTAGAACATGTATGCTTATTCCCTTTCTAAGACAGGAGCAGTTTTATTCTACCCTTTCTAGATCAGGGCGATTTTTAGGATCAGTGATTTGAACGTCATAGGTCCCATTTATTATTTCATCAATCACGACTCCGTGTGGAGAAGCTCTCGGAACTTCTACTGTGCATGCATAAACTTCACCGTGATTCATATATATATATATATATATATATATATATATATATGGACAATATTTTCTACTGTACATTTCTGGAGTTGTCTCAGATTGTCGTTCCGTATATGCTGTGAACGGAAGCACCTCGTGCATAACCCCACACGGAATAGACTACGCGGATAAACACCCGTTATTGCTAGCAATCCTTTGAGCAGCTAAGATGTTCTGCTTGAGCCTAAAAGAGCAGATATATTGCCACATGATTGGCCTGTTCGATACTAGTGCCGATCATGTGATTGACATGAATCACCTAATCAAGTTGGATGGGGAATTTGCTATGCTCTCCTAATCACACGCCGGCCCGGAACCTAATAAGAGACAAACGTTGCTTCCTGGCTAACAGGAATCTTCTCGGAAGTTAACAAGCCGAAAAGCCGAAAAACATGTCAATTCCATATAGTCGAATACAACGAAGAGACTACATGCTTTTAGTATGGTCTCCATCTCCCTTGATAACCTTGGTCATGTGATGCACACACAAGAACAACCATTACAGAGGATCCGTGTTCCGCTCAGCTGACTTAGCTCACCGATCAGCTGGCTTTGCAATCAGACCACTTGCTGTTCTCCGTAAATCATAGTTCTATGCGCCAGATTCACCACTCTGCAGGCCAACTGCACGTTTGAAACCCACAATGTTTTGTTTGTTTGTTTGTTTCGTGTGGAAGGAGGGATGCTTTTAGCTCCAAGCAGCACCAGGTCGAGGTTGGAGGCCCTGGTTCATGAGGAATGAGGGGGTTACGCTGGTGTGATACGAAGATTAAAGACTGACCAAATATGCCTGAGGATTATGCTGAAGCCAATTATAGTTCCGGACGCGGCATTCCGTGGATTTTATGTGATCCTTCCGTGACTAACTGCGCTCACCCAGCGACATCTGGTGCAATAGTATGGATATTACTTTGGGAACTAGGCGGTGGGTTGTTGAAAGACACCCAGTCCAAGCCCTGCAGAGATTGCCGATGATACTCAGTACGGTCAAATCACAAGTTTAATGTTTTTGCCTCCGTCCGACTTGTCTGTGAGGTCGTCACAGGAAAAACGACTGGGTCTTAATTTGCGTTGAGCTCTTCGCTGTTTGTCAACTGCGGACACCTGTTGATGTCTATCCGTCGTTGTGAATTATGGATCTGACTGCATCTGATTATGAACCCAGCAGAACGTTTTTGGATGTGCGACGATAAGCTCCTTAGAACAGTTTTCATGTCGTTGTCTTCCAACAGTATGCAGAGCAATAATAGACTTTGTTCAACTTGTTTGGCTGAATGGGGTCCATAACCGGAACCATAATGTTGTTTACTTTGTTCATAGGTGTTTGTGCAACCGCTCGTTTCGTGCTGGGTGAATGGAACAAGTGAAGGCCTATATAATGGCCGGCACGGGTTGCGATGCACAAAAATGCGAAATTGTTTTCCGGCAATTTTCTGGAGCTGGTTCGCAAACTGATTGTGTGTGGAAAACGTGAGCGAGTCGCTGGTGCACAGAGCTTGCAGTTCTAAAAAGGTCACTGAAAAAACACCGCTGGCATATCAACATTTCAAGGTTTTTGTATGCTCAAATTATGGGTCTTTCAGAATAATATCTGTCACTGTTGGAACAATCTAAGAATCTGTGGTCAGTTTGTTGGTATGTTCGCAGAAAAATTTTGAAGGTAAATTGAGTTGAGCGCAAACAAATTTGAATATCAGGGAGTATTTTCACAACTCACAGTAATCCTGAGCGTCAGATCGTCGTCTTAGTAACTGCTACCTTGACTTTTCGTTAGAAGCGTAGAAGTGTGAATTGAAATGACATCAAGATACAGTTTCCCCCTTAAATCACCCATAAAAACTAAATAAGTTACTTGTCAGATTTTTAGGAGTAGTTTTATGATGTGGCTTAGAGGTTTCGCAGGTTTGTTTGTGTGGTCGACAGTAATGTAGGTTCACTTTCTAAACGCCGGCAACCTGCGAGACACAGGCGTCTCGAATTTTCCGCCAACCTTGCGTATGGTGGACTTCCCGGCCGTAGCAGCACCTGAGTGCGAGTGGTAAAGCGGAATACGTGTGGAATTCCGCCTAACAGCCTGTGAATGGAAACGTTTGTTCTAAGCAGGGTCAACTTATCCCCATTTTTTCCTATGACTCTTCGCGCAGATGCTGGTCGTCCTCATCGCAATGTAGTATGGCTAACGTTTCTCTTGTCGGCCTTGTGTTTATGATTATAAGTGTTCCGTTTTGGCACACACGTACGCCCTCTTCGACAGGATAACGTTGAGCGTGGCAGTTTGTTGGTGGTGATATGGTTGACAGTCTTGAATGCGACTTCGTCTTTGACAATGTCCCGTACTTGCTACGGCGATGGTCGGAAAGTGGAGTGAATGACAGTGGCTGCTAACTTTGGTTTATCCGCGCATTTATTCACCGAGAAGTACAAATATAACGCGAGAACGTTAGGGCGCGGCTCGATTCACTTTCTTTCTTGTGTCACTCATCATTGTGTAATATAACTGATGGAATAAGAGCTGCTGGAATTGGTGAACACTTAGTGTAAGTTAAATCCCTTTAAATGGGATTCTGTTGATTAGGCGTGGCAACGGTTAGCAACACCGACGACGAGATCAGAGCTGTCCTGTCCGATTCTTATCGATCCTAACTCTCATTAGGATAAAAAGTTGGAACAATTTACTTTCAGTACAGGACTGTCTAGTTAATAGTGCCTACAATGAAACGGCCAGGCTTTCATCTCATTTGCGATTCTTTATACCCTCGGTGAATGAAGTTTGCTAGCTGGAACCTGTAAAACTGGTGTGCGGTCTGCAGCTGACTAAATCACACAACACCCGTACTGCTTGGTTTGGCATTTTGCGCACCGATCGATTCAACAGATAGCGAATGACCTTATCGGTACTGTTTACTGACTGTGTATGAATTTCCAAACTCTGAATTTGACCCGTGGTGTTTCTGGTTTCTCTATTGCCTTTCTGACTGAGTTGTGATTTCCGGTTTCATCGTCCACAAATCCCGCAATATGGTCAGCACACGTCATGCGTGATAAATGGGTACGAATAAGTTTTCATACTCCTTCGTCGCGTATAAAACGGACTGGTTTTTCGCACATGGATTTGAATGTGGACGTGAATGAACTCGGGTGTACCGAGTGACAAGAGTGACTTGAACAAACCATCTTGGTCTGTTTCATTGATCGGTTTCGAAAGCCGTAAACAGATCGCCCCGTCCCACTGATGTCTTATGCTACGCGCCAGTTTCTTGGTTCCTTTCATCAGATCGCTTGTCAACCGTAACCAACTGCCCCCATTTCAGTGTCGCCTCATGAGATCTTTTGCAAAAGTTACCAGATGGGGAAGGGGGAGTGTTCTCAATGATAGGCTGGCTCTAGTCTGTCCCTGTACCCAAAACACAAACAGGATCCATCAGTATTGTGTGAGGCTAGAACATTGTTGGTTTTCGGTTATTGGAACCCCTGGTATCGGAACTCTTTCTAGAAGGCGACTTTTCATCCTCTCCTACCAAAAAGTGGGCGCTAGACTTGAATGGTGATCTATCGCTTATGTGTGTTTGATGCGTTATGTATGCTCCAAAGACATTGTACTGTTACAATTTTTCTGGGGACATAGATGAGAAACTTCAGTAGCATAAATTCGGTCGGCCTTTCGTTACTGGCTACCTAACCAAAGGCTGTTCCAGTGAATTGTGTTGCTTGTTCGGACTCCGAAGCCGTTGCCTGTTGAGAATTGGGACACCGCCACCTAGTTAAATTCATTGCTACGTATACTGGTCATTCGATAAGGTTGGAGAACATTTTTTGGATGACTTCTCTTCGTACGATTTATAGGAAACCCCTCGTATAGCATAAGACCTGTTTGTAATGTAAATCTCGATTTTCCGAGGTTCTCAGCCAACCAGGATAGCGACTCCAAGGTCGAATCATGAATCGTAGTTTAGAGGTGCTGGTTTTGTATGTGCATCAAGGGCTACTGCTAACTGGTTCAACCTAGAATCAACAACTGCGTCCAACGTTCTCCATCATAAATGTTTAGCCCCTAGTTGACATCAACAGTATGGAGATGGCCCTTATCCGAAGTCAATGTCACCACTTTGAAAGTGTCCCTTTGTTGGTGTTTGTTATGCAGGTGAGCTCGCCCCAGCATAGTGCGCGAACGACGGATTACACAGTTGTTGAACTTTCAGGTGTAAATGGGTAGGTGTGTGCTAGTTTGGCAAAGCGTTGTTATACTAATGCGTACGTGTAAGGTTTATGTAAACCAAACAATACTGCTTTATTGATTTTTAGCAGCTTTCCTAGACCAGTGGCCTTTCAGAGATAGTTGTGCTGTCCGCTATGTGACACTACTCATAAGTTAAATGAAAATTCTGAGTGCCCCACTGCAGAAACGCCAGCTTGCACGTATGCGGGGATAAAAACTTTCGTTAACTGATTCAGAAGACTCAGTTGGAATGTAGCTGAATTACTTGTTTGTAACGTTTTTAACTGAATATGCTTCAAACAGGCCAATTCACTTAGTTAGAAGGATATTCAAGATATCGAAAGGATTCCCCTCCTATAACAATGGCTTTTCTAGATGTTAATAGTGACTTTTGCTTTTTTGGTCTCCAAAGCCTGTTCTGTTATCATCGTAAATCTTGGTGTGTTTAGTGGTGTTTACTTGCGTGGTCAGTAGATGCGGTTCCTCTCCAGAATAGACCACCCTTCGACGAAAGTCATTTCGACCGTTGTCATTGTTCGGATACGCCGTTGTTGGTTGACAGTATTTTATAGTAAACCTTTAGTTCACAACACCTCAACTTCATCTGCAGGACGAACAACTCCGACTTCGGGAAAGTCATTTGCGCTGTTTTCATGGATCACTATTGGTTTTCTTCTCATTGCCGGTGAAGATCTTCCCCGGGTATGGGACAAAAAAGATACATGCATGATCATCTGTAAGCTATCAGAAGCGAAGAACAGTAGTGATATCGCTGAATAGTCACACTGGCCAGTCCACGTTACTCCAGTGTGGCTGAATATCGCTCAAGTTAATTCACGACGTTCACCAAATACCCAGCCTGTGTGAAAATAGATGTTCACGCTTAACCCTAAAGCTGCTGCCACTCTGGATTTATCGAGTGTGTAGATAGACCCCCGGTGACTCTCCACAAGAAGCCCCTTGTAACGATCGCGCAAATTTATCAAGAATGGAGTCAAATAAAAGACCAGTACCACCGACATGCAGTAGAAGCGGGCGCAAGCCAGTACAATCATTGAAAGTGCAGGGAAGTGCTGTTTGCCAACTGGAACCTAATTTTTGGGCCAATGCCAGAACCAAGTTTACTTTTTTGAGGATATCGGGAGCCTCAACGCCTGTGCTACGTCACTCGAGGGGCCAAACCATAGGAAGGATTCAGGCCCCATGTAGGCTCCATAACTTACCCATCCGCGTTCTCGGTGAACGAACAGGTTCGAGGGCATGTCACGACGGAGGGGCATGGTGTCAAAAAAGCGCTGGAATCCACAGCAGTCGATGTCTATCCGTGAAAGGCGAATGTGAATGTAACAAGTCACCGCAGACCACACTATATCGATAGTAGGATGGATAAAAATGAAGGCTGAACAAGTGGGGAATACAGTAATCGTCACTCACCACTACCGGGATCGGAGAGCCATACTCTCAAAATCCACGTCTTTGTGTGCACCGTAATGTGTACGACAGTGACAGGTGAATTTTTGTCGTTTGGAACCGAAGAACGTGAAGTACGTAGTGTTTGCTCGGCAAATCTGTGGCCGTTAAAACAATAGTGATCGGAAACTGCATCAGTGTCTCGCACAGAGGTCATGTCTCCTAGAATGTTTTACAGTGTTTGAGGACTTGGTTGAACGGTTTACTAACATTTAAGAAAGCAAGCTGTAGGATATTAGGTACATCTTTTAGTTCAGATGCTGCTGTCCCGAAAAAAGGTCTCCAAAATCTCCCTCCGAACCGGTTACCATGTTGTTTTGAGTTTCTTGTTTTCATGGAAGAGCATGACGACACCACTTAGCCAACATTACACTTCTTTATCAAAACACGGATTTTTTAAGATTGCGTAATGAGATTCAAACACGGTATGGGGATGCTGGCGTGTTTGGAACTCGATGGTGGTGGCGAGATGGCTCAAGTGGTTAGAGCGCGAATTTACTGACCGGAAGCTCCGTGGTTCGAGTCCGACTTCTCCCCTGTCTAGGTTTGGGCAACCTGGCAGTATCCCGACCCTCGTGCAACCTTCGGGTGACATGTCAGTTAGGCACCGGCAGGGTACTAAAGCTGAACGATTTTTTTAAGGTGGATGTAATTTAATAAGTGAGTATATTTAGAAACCAGTTGCTAATCGCATCCCCCATAGGGGGACTAGAAGTAAACTGCTTTTCTGTTGGCGGACTGCGAGTGTTCGCCATACCTAAAGTCCGAAATCCATACAGCGAGTATGACCCACGGTGATATGGAGATTTGATAGATAACTCAACCGTGGGTTCATTCGTAAATACGCATATTAAGCTAAGCAGAGCGAAGAGCATGGCTTCGGTGTGCACTAGACTGAATAAACAGCTAGTTAAAGTGACATCTAAGTTGAGTGGTAGTACGGAAAAAAAGAGATAAACAACTTGCTCTCTTACACGTGAATGCAGTAGGTTGCCTAGGGATACTGTTGTTTTCGCAGATAGTTACACTGTCTCGTAACCATTCAGTGCCTGTGACATCTGAATCCCTTTCCATGTGAATTCCGATGCTTGAAAATACGAACAATAGGCATGCAAACATCCTATGGGTCGTTTACGGCCTCTCTGTCCTGTACTCTTTTGTTATTCTTATTTCCAAATTTCTTGTCTACAACCCTTTTCTATTTGTTTTCACAGGCAAGACAGTTTGCAAAGGTAGCTTTGGACCTCGAGCAGTGCGGTCACCCGCAGGAAGTCACCCAGTCCTTTCTGTTAGACGCCAGACTGAACCACGAAGCTACTTTGGCTCAGTTCCTATCTGCTCTCCCGCGGCCGGCAGTTTCACCGAGACCCGTACATGCTCCCGGACCATCTTGGCAAGGCGCCCCCATTACGCGACCACAAACTAAACGCTAGACACATCTTGCCGGACACGGACTTCTGTTGGATTGAGTCTTTCATTTGAACTAGCCACAGTTCGCTATCTGTTGATATGCTATGCTGAAATTCATCCCACTTCTCCTTGCGATCGATTCACTCCCTTGGACAAGGTGCGTAATCAGCTTGTGCGCACACCTCAAACAATAGATGACGTTTAAGCGACCAAGTTTCCACTCCATTCCCGTTTTCAGTTACTGCATTCGTTTCATTATATCATTCATTCTCCCTTATTACTTGCCGTGCAACTGTTTTGTTACTCGCAGAAATACACACTATATTTTGGAATGCTACTTCGACTACTCGTTAGTTATGGTAAGTATGCTAGAACCATACTGCTCGTATTGTTGGATAATTTTAACTGGGCTTGATTTCATTTGGTGCGATCAGTTAAACCAAGGGCAGCTTTGACTGTGCACTTCTTAATGGGCCTCTTCCTCCCGTTGGGCGGTCCAAACTCAGTTAATCGTGAGAACGTCCATTCCGGTGCATCAGCTTGGCCACGCCGCGCTGGTCAGTCACCAGTCCAGGTAACATCATCGGTGCGTTGTGGGTGCAAGGCACTACCATTCAGAATGCACGAGTCGGGTCTGTTATAGTCTGGAATTAGATTGAAAGAAGGAAAACTAGCTTCTGAAAACCAAAGGTGTCCAAGACCACAGTGTAGCTTTGCGTTAGTGTAGTCAGTAAACGGGAAAAAAAACTGAATGGAATCACTCTGTACTGAAAAGCTGAGAAACACCGTCATCTTTGTTGAGGCTTGTCTGCCTTAGGTATCTCACTACCTACAAACACTAAGCATTCTGTTTTGAAAAGGAAAACGAACCTCCCATCCAAAACGTCACTGGAGGCCGGTGACTCTCCACAAGAAGCCCCTTGTAACGATCGCGCAAATTTATCAAGAATGGAGTCAAATAAAAGACCAGTACCACCGACATGCAGTAGAAGCGGGCGCAAGCCAGTACAATCATTGAAAGTGCAGGGAAGTGCTGTTTGCCAACTGGAACCTAATTTTTGGGCCAATGCCAGAACCAAGTTTACTTTTTTGAGGATATCGGGAGCCTCAACGCCTGTGCTACGTCACTCGAGGGGCCAAACCATAGGAAGGATTCAGGCCCCATGTAGGCTCCATAACTTACCCATCCGCGTTCTCGGTGAACGAACAGGTTCGAGGGCATGTCACGACGGAGGGGCATGGTGTCAAAAAAGCGCTGGAATCCACAGCAGTCGATGTCTATCCGTGAAAGGCGAATGTGAATGTAACAAGTCACCGCAGACCACACTATATCGATAGTAGGATGGATAAAAATGAAGGCTGAACAAGTGGGGAATACAGTAATCGTCACTCACCACTACCGGGATCGGAGAGCCATACTCTCAAAATCCACGTCTTTGTGTGCACCGTAATGTGTACGACAGTGACAGGTGAATTTTTGTCGTTTGGAACCGAAGAACGTGAAGTACGTAGTGTTTGCTCGGCAAATCTGTGGCCGTTAAAACAATAGTGATCGGAAACTGCATCAGTGTCTCGCACAGAGGTCATGTCTCCTAGAATGTTTTACAGTGTTTGAGGACTTGGTTGAACGGTTTACTAACATTTAAGAAAGCAAGCTGTAGGATATTAGGTACATCTTTTAGTTCAGATGCTGCTGTCCCGAAAAAAGGTCTCCAAAATCTCCCTCCGAACCGGTTACCATGTTGTTTTGAGTTTCTTGTTTTCATGGAAGAGCATGACGACACCACTTAGCCAACATTACACTTCTTTATCAAAACACGGATTTTTTAAGATTGCGTAATGAGATTCAAACACGGTATGGGGATGCTGGCGTGTTTGGAACTCGATGGTGGTGGCGAGATGGCTCAAGTGGTTAGAGCGCGAATTTACTGACCGGAAGCTCCGTGGTTCGAGTCCGACTTCTCCCCTGTCTAGGTTTGGGCAACCTGGCAGTATCCCGACCCTCGTGCAACCTTCGGGTGACATGTCAGTTAGGCACCGGCAGGGTACTAAAGCTGAACGATTTTTTTAAGGTGGATGTAATTTAATAAGTGAGTATATTTAGAAACCAGTTGCTAATCGCATCCCCCATAGGGGGACTAGAAGTAAACTGCTTTTCTGTTGGCGGACTGCGAGTGTTCGCCATACCTAAAGTCCGAAATCCATACAGCGAGTATGACCCACGGTGATATGGAGATTTGATAGATAACTCAACCGTGGGTTCATTCGTAAATACGCATATTAAGCTAAGCAGAGCGAAGAGCATGGCTTCGGTGTGCACTAGACTGAATAAACAGCTAGTTAAAGTGACATCTAAGTTGAGTGGTAGTACGGAAAAAAAGAGATAAACAACTTGCTCTCTTACACGTGAATGCAGTAGGTTGCCTAGGGATACTGTTGTTTTCGCAGATAGTTACACTGTCTCGTAACCATTCAGTGCCTGTGACATCTGAATCCCTTTCCATGTGAATTCCGATGCTTGAAAATACGAACAATAGGCATGCAAACATCCTATGGGTCGTTTACGGCCTCTCTGTCCTGTACTCTTTTGTTATTCTTATTTCCAAATTTCTTGTCTACAACCCTTTTCTATTTGTTTTCACAGGCAAGACAGTTTGCAAAGGTAGCTTTGGACCTCGAGCAGTGCGGTCACCCGCAGGAAGTCACCCAGTCCTTTCTGTTAGACGCCAGACTGAACCACGAAGCTACTTTGGCTCAGTTCCTATCTGCTCTCCCGCGGCCGGCAGTTTCACCGAGACCCGTACATGCTCCCGGACCATCTTGGCAAGGCGCCCCCATTACGCGACCACAAACTAAACGCTAGACACATCTTGCCGGACACGGACTTCTGTTGGATTGAGTCTTTCATTTGAACTAGCCACAGTTCGCTATCTGTTGATATGCTATGCTGAAATTCATCCCACTTCTCCTTGCGATCGATTCACTCCCTTGGACAAGGTGCGTAATCAGCTTGTGCGCACACCTCAAACAATAGATGACGTTTAAGCGACCAAGTTTCCACTCCATTCCCGTTTTCAGTTACTGCATTCGTTTCATTATATCATTCATTCTCCCTTATTACTTGCCGTGCAACTGTTTTGTTACTCGCAGAAATACACACTATATTTTGGAATGCTACTTCGACTACTCGTTAGTTATGGTAAGTATGCTAGAACCATACTGCTCGTATTGTTGGATAATTTTAACTGGGCTTGATTTCATTTGGTGCGATCAGTTAAACCAAGGGCAGCTTTGACTGTGCACTTCTTAATGGGCCTCTTCCTCCCGTTGGGCGGTCCAAACTCAGTTAATCGTGAGAACGTCCATTCCGGTGCATCAGCTTGGCCACGCCGCGCTGGTCAGTCACCAGTCCAGGTAACATCATCGGTGCGTTGTGGGTGCAAGGCACTACCATTCAGAATGCACGAGTCGGGTCTGTTATAGTCTGGAATTAGATTGAAAGAAGGAAAACTAGCTTCTGAAAACCAAAGGTGTCCAAGACCACAGTGTAGCTTTGCGTTAGTGTAGTCAGTAAACGGGAAAAAAAACTGAATGGAATCACTCTGTACTGAAAAGCTGAGAAACACCGTCATCTTTGTTGAGGCTTGTCTGCCTTAGGTATCTCACTACCTACAAACACTAAGCATTCTGTTTTGAAAAGGAAAACGAACCTCCCATCCAAAACGTCACTGGAGGAGCAAGTCGTATGATGTGGAATTCGTGGCCGAAGGATGGTGACGCTACTTCTGCAGGTCAGCTACTCATGCGTGGCCAGCAGCAGCATTTGTATCTCCCAGAGTTTTGCGAATAGTACCGTGCTGATGATCTACTGCGTGGATCCGCTCTTCATAATTCCCATAACACCTACAAACTATTATAGGTGAACTGCGATAATAGGGATGCGCCGATAGTAATTTGTACAACAATTTCTGTTACGAAGTGTGGTATAATAACAACTAGCTGTACCTGCTCTTTACGGGTGATCACACCTTTGTGTCCATGTACTGTAACTCGATAGTCCTGCAGTCCGAATGAGGTAGTGATGGGCGCCTGGCTGTGCATTTGATCAACGTTGTAAACCTGATGGATGATCCCAAAGAGTGAAATGTTTCGAAGCTTCTTAAACAACTTCCAGGGCTATCATGTCCATCAGTTCACCGACGTCGATTTCGTGCTGCAACAGCACTCCACTGCCCGTGCATCTGAATTGGCGCACTAGATGTTGAAAATAATGGCAGTGTGACTCACTGCTAATTGACCTAGAATATTGGTCAAATTAAGCCGCGAAAGGAAGTGACAGTTGATTTTCCCGATGCCGAACGGAGTGACGCTTAGGTTCGACAATCCCTAATGTCAAAAGGAAATGGGTTTGAAATTCGACGGTAATATTTAAACATGGGTAAGCAAATTTATACAACAGATCTCCATTGTCCACGTTCGTAGCGTCAAGAAGTTCACAAGTCTGTCACTGCTAGGCACAGTGTAGTGTCAACGTCCGCACACCAAACACTGTTGAGCGGAACGTTGGCTCAGTAGTGCGGGTTCCAGTCGTCCCTCCCGACGACATTCTGGTGATTCCCGTTGGCGATGCGATCACACCGAGCTCATGAGAAAACAACTCAAGGCAGGCTAAGCAAACGGGCGCATGGATGAGTAGGTCAGCTGCGCACATTCGCACACAGACTCATGTGTCGGACGGGACGGCTTTCGCGGTAAGGTGAGTGGCGGGAGCATATGAACAAAACAAGTGGAGGTCCAAAGTACATAGGCGGAGTAAGCAAACGAATGAGGGAATTATCATGAAGTCGAGTAGGATTCAACACAAGAACCTCTAATCCTGGACATTTCTCTCGGTTCTGTTCCTCCTCATAGTTCTCAGCGTTTAGAAATACAGGACTTCTGACAAGCCTCAGTAATGAACAGACACGATCTAACTGTGTCTATTCTTTTCACTCCGTATCGGCATGCATTGAACCTCAATGAATATTTGTGCTGCGGACGGCGTCTTGTGATCCTCGGCTTCGTGTACCTATCGAATAGGGATTTCGCACCATCTAGCGGGCTTGTGTGCCAATGGGTTTTGCAATAACACCCGTCTTGCACGTATACGTACCACGTGTCCTCATGAAGGCCGGAATTTCATTTTACTTTGGATGGATAAGGTTGTCTCCAGTTAAAGACCACTCAACTGTGCAGTGGACACCCTATATCCAGTAAACTAGAAAGTGTTACCTGCCAGTGCAATGTGCTCTGAAATAGTTGTCTTTAACTCGATTCACTCTTTATCAGCTCCATGATACTCACTGCTTGCCTGGAACCTAAAAGTCAAAACCAGCCGCGAGGATTAGGCATTTCATATACTCCCGTGACAAACACACGCACTCCCCTAGCCTCCGCACCGCTCAGCAGCTCCAGTCACTGCGACATCAGAGCTGGTTGGATGAGGTTACAGAGCAGGATCCGTTACTTTATGGCAAGAATCGATGTTGTGATGTAAACTAAGGACATGTTGGTGGTGCCAGGATTACAAATACTTCAGCTGTTCATTGAAGTTATCTGCTGGCACCGAGAAGCGACATACGGAACTGGGTTGATTGATATACTACAGCATAATATTGGACTTTGACGCTGATATGAAGAAGCATTCAAAGATACAGTGGTATGCCAAACAAGGCCGACAGGAAACAATCGTTCGGCTGTAGCACCCTCCCGGTGCTTAGCTGCTATACCACCCGAAGGAAGCACGAGGGCTGGGATACTGTCAGGTTGCCCAAGCTTAGACAGGGGAAGTCGAAAGGCAGAGGTTGGGTTCGAACCACGGACCTTCCTGTCAGTAAATTCGCGCTCTAGCCACTTGCGCTATCTCGCCCCCATTACAGCATGCCCATATACGGTCCAGTATTTTTACTGAACCCAGCAAACCGTCTATTCACATTCTAGGCCTGTCGTAGCCATCCGTGAATAGATCTCGAGAGTTGCCGTATGTCGCTTATTAGCTTTGATGACGAAGCCGATTAGGCTAGACTTTGCATCCGGCGTAGTTTCAACGAGGATTCCCAGAAAAATGTATGACTTACGGATAAGTAGAATCTAGGTTTATGATTATTCACATCATTGGTTTAAAACTTACTAATTTAGGCTCAAGCACTTGGGTCTTTCGCGTTACGATGCTTGTGAGCAAGATTTCAGTTATCAGGCAACGTACAGTGTCTGCAAGGCCCTCTGGATGAATAAGACAAATCGGTTCGGACTAAACTGTTTTGGAACCGAAAAGGACACAAGTCTACAACACTATCAGGCTAATGGACAAGGCGGAGACCATTGGAAAGTCAGTTTATGCAAGGGCATTGTTATGAAGAGGCTGTGCCAATAACTAGTCTTTTTTCAATATTTTCTCTGAGTTTTTACAATCGTATTTAAAATGGTCGAAATCCGCACGTCTGTAGCTTTTGGCTGTGTCGCGAATAAAAGAGGAATGTTTGGAACATTGATCAAGTTTCTCGAAATAACATCGTCCGCAGGGTTGATGAAAAACAGGCCACCACCGGTTTGGCCATTCTTAAGGCTCGTCGGATAGGTATAATCCCAGATTTTCCGTCAACTTCATGTTCTGACTGAACGCTAAACTGCACGCAAATGACGGTACATTTGGTTACACGCTGCACTTTTGTTAACAAGAGACCCAAATGAATCTCTCGTGCATGGTATCTTTGAACTGAATATACTGCGTGAAGGCCACCTCAAGTTCAGTTGATACGGTGTGGCAAGTAAATACACTGCGACATGTAGCATATTTTGCTAACTAAAACACTAGACAACCTGTGTGCGGTGCATTCGCTTGCGACATTCGCAAATGAGAGATTCATTTACCACCAGAGTAATCTGCGAATGGACGTTTTTCGCCCATATCTAGCTCTCGTAACAAATGTTACATGTGGAGAGATCATACTCACGCATAAGCAATTTGCAACGAACAAATCTGGGAATATAATAATTGCTGAAAAAGGGTGCAGTATTTATTTAGCTACGGTACTTTGCACCATTGAACCAACGAGGAGGCCATACAAATTCCCGGTTTATCCTGTGGTACAATGGCCACTCCTAGACAGGCCATTTTCTGTGCTCCTCGAGGATAGCCTTTATAGGAACGGGGCTGGCTGCACTGCTGTTAGCATCCTATTCTACCATTTCTACTCTTGTATCTTCCAGTTACTCCATAGCTGGCTACCCCTTGTTTTGAATTATTTGCTGATAAGGGATATCCTGTTAAGAGTTGTTTTTATGTGCCCCACAACTCCCAGACCACAGTTGTTTCAACTTCTACTACACTTGATTGACCCATTTCGTTCGGCAACTGCCTACTGTTACCTAGCTACGTTCCCTCCGCGGACCAATGAGCATCTGTCTTATTCGGAGTAAAATGGATAAACAGTGAAATAGGGGAAAACGCCTTTTTAGTATTGATTTGATTGTAGTGGTAGAAATGCGCAAATATAGATGGGACGGAACGCAACGAAAGCTGCAACGAAACCAGTTGAAGATGATGTCTCCTCTACTCCTCCGGTTCATAGGACAGTGGGTCTTTCCCTGTCAAGGAATCATTCTTTTTTGGTGATTGGTACATTACGGTCGGGTTACCACGCATGTCCGTTGACCCCCGAAGGACAACAGTTGTTGTGGGAGATAGGTTCCTGGCGCATGGAGTCGCTTCATTCGTCACGTGAACGTGATCCCCACGCTTAATGCACGGCGTAGAGGTGGCCAGTGCCTTGAAAGAAAACGTCCGCTTCAGCCCTGCTGCAGTGTCCCTGCATGGTTTCCGATTTCTACTGAGACCACGGGGTTCCGGTGGCGATGTGCGCCCCTCTTTCGGGGCCTGTTCTATTGGAGTTGCGTAGCATGTAGAACTTGGAAGTAACCGGTGTATCTCGGAAGACTGAAATAAAAGTTAGTTTTTCATTACTTGCTTTCTTTGACAGTTTTGGATCATGTAAATCGTTTTACTGGCTATCTGCCGTCTAGTTTCACTTATTTGCATGACTCATCACTGCGTTCCGCGCCTGAACATCGGCCACCCCGCCCAATAGTAATACCCTACTCATGGCTAACTATGCTGGTTTATTCCAGAAGTCTCGAGACCGCCATTTATACTCAGTAATTGAGATTAGCAAGATGCCTTATTGAAACGCTTGGACGGTCGGTAGGCCTGCCACATGAAGGACCAAATTTACTTTCAGAACCAGCAGCTACAATGTGTGGCCACCTACTTTACTGTCTTCCGTCCCGCAACAAATTAGTTTATTCATGTTCTGGACGTTCATGTGACTAATCACATTTGGCTGCTAAACCCCCGGTCATTTTCACTTTCGTGTTTCGAGGCTCGGTGACCATCTTCTTGTTCTGAGGGGTCACAAGTCCAAGGCTGACGAATTTAGTCCTCACCGGTGGTTCATGCCGCTGATATACTCGAAACAGCAACACATTTGAGTGAAGCAACGAATAGCATCAGAATAACCAGCGTAGATGAGAAATGAAACAATCGGTCTTGGGTGCACACCTAAATGAATACCAAATAAACTACATCAGATATACTGGCCCAACTGAATTTGTTGCTCGAACGGAATCTAATCGGTACTTCCTAGTCTCCAGATAACTGCCGTTTGATGTGGACAACGACTTGACAAAGTAGAGAAGAGTACTTCAGATGCAGCATTTGGTTTGATGTAGAAGAAATTCCTTAGTTTAGGTTAAATGCAGATTGGATACGTATTAGGCTGTTATACATAGAATTTGAACAGTGGGCAGACCTCCTTGGCTTAGTAAAAAAATTATGCAATACAAACGCAAATGACCAGAAAATCATAACTTTAATCACGAAAAGAACACAGTTATATATGTGGAGGAATCTCACCCTAAACAGTCCAGTAGGCTCAGCGAGCTATCAGTGCAACTGGATTTAACCTACTGACATGTCGCTTACGAATGGGAAAGATGGGAAAGTCCTCCCTCTGAGTGAAATTTCAACCCAGATGACGATTTTGCAACCGTGAAATGTTTTTCTATTGTCATTCTCTTTCAGGGAAACGCTCCATAGCGGAAAACAGGGACTCCTCTACATGTGATATGGTTTGTACTGGTCGTTGGCTTGTGCGCTGAGCTGGTGTTTATACACAACCCATCGCTATGTACCACTACGCTCCCTAACAGGAACTTATGATGTCACCTCGATCGCTGACAGCTCAGCGAACAAGCCAACGGCCATCTATGCTACCTAAGCTACCAACATTTCCCTCTCCGACGATGAAACATATTCTTTGGGGGAAGCATTGTCATATGCCTCGGAGGTATATTTCGGCGTGGGCGTCCTTTTTCTCATGTTTTTCGTTTGATAAATCATGGACAGCATGTTCTCATTGACCATTCATCTGATTCGATCAGATGTCAAATATAAGCCGTACGCAAACGAATAGAATGATGAGCGTCAAATTGCAAGATCAGACGTTGTATTTCGGCGTGAGCGTCCTTTTTCTCATGTTTTTCGTCTGATGAATCATGGACAGCATGTTCTTATTGACCATCCATCTGATCCGATCAGATATCACCGTACGCAAACGAATAGAATGATGAGTGTCAAATTGCAAGATCAGATTATCGCACCCAATGCCTTAGTGTCGGTGAACCAAGCTGAAGCAGCTGGGACCAAACAATTTCGATGTACGTTTATTAGCTTAAAAATGAACTGAGCTGATTCGACGGTCCGGACGACTTTGATATAAAACTTTGGCTAAGTGTGAAAGCCACACGTGACAATCATGTATGACTTAGTCAAAGCTGTCACCATCGGCTGTTAGCCGTGTGCATGTTATACAGTGGTGCTACCTGTCTACTTTTTGTCCAAGAGGATCTGGGATAGCTGAGTATTGAAGGCTGTTAGATATATTCGATGAATCTAGGAAGTGGTGGGGAGGTCGGGCTGAAAAATTACACACATAAGAAAAAGCAACAACTATCGGACGACTGTCGCTATCCATTGGTATGTCCTGTTCAGCGTTGCTCATCCGCGCAGAAGACAATGACCAGTGCAGCTGATTAACAGCTTTCATTTTTCGCTGCCACCTCATGGCTTGACTATTTGGCTCGTTTCCACTGTTGTCAGTTCATCAAATATACACTAGGTCAGGGAGGTTCAGTGAGGATGAACTATGAGACTGATTTTGAATGTCCTGAGAGTATATTTTGTATCTGTTCGTTTGATGCAGCTGACCAATATGTGCCAAAACTGAAGATGTTCGGAGTAAAGCTGTAGTAAAAAAAAATGGAAAATGAACGGCTTTAATGTCCTGAGAGTATATTTTGTATCTGTTAGTTTGATGCAGCTGTCCAATATGTGCCAAAACTGAAGATGTTCTGATTAAAGCTGGAGTAAAGTAAATGGAAAATGAACGGCTTCAGTAACGAGGAATGCTTACCTGACCAATTCCCTGACTTGAAGTGACTGGCTCATCTCCGCTCGCATCATGCTCTTGTCGACGACAGAGTTTCACTTTGTGAGCATCGTTTTCCTCGCTGAGTTCGCCGGTGTGCATAGGCGTTTTCGATTTACATTCACAACGAGGTCGCCTCTCATATGTAAGAGTAGAAAAGTTTGTCGTCTCTGTGGACGGACATTCCAAACTGCCCAACGTTTTAAACGTTTCGTTTGGGTAAACGGAGGAAAGCTTGGATCGCTGCTGTGCTGAGTTTGGAGGGTTATTTTCCGAACGAATTGGTGAGCAACAGTCAGCCAATCCGGAGTTTTCACTTGTCATCAAGGGACTCCTTGAGATCTCAGGAATCACAGAAGGCATTCTCATGGATCTATTCTCGCAATTCCGTTTCTCCTCCCTTGTTTTGGTGGGAACTGGATTTTTCGTACAGACTGAATATCTGTCACCTCTTTCTCTTATTGGTTCATAAAAACGTGTAGTGAGATCATCTAGCTGAGTTCGACACCAACCGTTTCCTTCTCTGAACTCATCTCGTGGACACGAAGGATCGTAATACCTGTCCTTATTGAAGCGGCAACAACGACAATGTTTCTGAAACATTTCGTACGGAAGTATTTTGGGTTTGCCGGGGGAGTACGAAATCCTCGATCGATCAGATCTGTAAAACGCATGCACCACACAATGTTTTGATGAGAATGGAAGCATAAGCCTGGTATGTAAGCGTATTTTTTATTGTACTTTCTTTGGCTTGGCTTAGCAAAAGCTACGTGAGCCCTATCCGTGTGCAACAGAAAATTCTTGTAGCCGATAGCATGACATCAGTGTTCGACATCGATGCATCACTGACGTACAACCATGATTTATCTGAAAGCCTTATTGTGTAGCCGACTACAATTAAAAATCACAGTCTAAGCTTTCAAAGTATTCAGCGATGGTAAAAAATATCTTTCTTTTATTTTAGTATTTTCCGACATGTACAGGGCGAAATGCCATCAAAATAGGCTCACTTATTTCGAATAAATCATCCCGTCAAACTTTTTGTGTTTAGTTTCCGCTGAAAAGCATTCAACGAAAATTTTGCCGCAAAAATCCGTGGATGCTGCATGATCCCAGTAAAGATACAATCGGTCAACAGTGTAAGTATATATCTGGTTTGCAAACATGATATCCTCAATTTCGGTAAAAAAAAATCGTTCAGCTGTATCACCCTGTCGGTGCCTAACTGCCATGCCACCAGAAGGAAGCACGAGGGCTGAGATACTGCCAGGTTGCCCGAGTTGAGAGGTACAGTTCGGGTTTTAAACCACGGACCTTCCGGTTAGTGAATTCACGCTATAACCAAATGAGCCATCTCGCCTCCAAAAACGCGATTTCGGTAGGTTTTTCATCAGTTTTTTTCCGATATTACAGACTCCAAATTTCCCTCTTTTAATGGGTTGGGCAACATTAGGAAATAGTCGGTCTTGGAATAGGGTACCTCTTAACGGCTTGTTCTATCTTCTTTGTTGGATAGAAGGTATTATTATACGATCCTGTCCACTTGCGAAAATCGCTACCCAGCCTATTTTATGGAGGTTGCGTCGACTCTGCCTACTGAAACCCTTTTATTGTATTCGAACTTTACGCGGATACCAGTTCACTTTATCTCGACCCCCTTGCTTCCTCCTTTTATCACTGGCCCTAACATCCGCATTGGAGACGGTACTTGCATCCACCCACATCTCTGTCACAATTGTTGCTTCTCTTGAACATCGGCACTGCGGTTTTCTAAACGCGTAGAACGGTGCAGCAAATGTGATACGTATTTCCCTTACACAGACTTCTAATGTGGGCGAGTTGGTAGATGCTTCATCTATCAACCTCCTGACTAGGTGGTTACTTACATTCTTGTCATGAGGCGCACCCGCATGGAATTAATAAAAAATACAGACGATCTTTCTTGAAGTGTTCTTTTCCTACAGAGTCGTCCACTTGTTCTTACCCGTCTCTGTGGAGGCTTATGTTTCTTCGTTCAGGTTGGAATGTCGACAGGCCACATCCAGACTGCAAGCTCAACGGAGCTATTAATCCGCCTGTCCTTTTTCCGGGCGCAGTCAGTAGATGAATATCGACCACATGTCACTCGTGGGCGCCATTTGATTTACTGGACACAAAAGGATCACTCCTGGCTCTGTGTGAATATATGTGACCTAGGATTTAACGGCGATTACCGCAATACATCCAGTGGTATTCAAAGCAGAGGGGCTTTTTCAAATCGCCTGAATATCTTTCGCATTATGATTTATCTTGATTATTCTTCATGGGAAAATCGGGCGAAAGACGAAGCAGTCAGAGTTTGAGCTGCACATGCTCTGAGCGTTTGCAGCGGGTGGTTGTGACAATTTCATCTTACTGACACGTCCAACCGAGAAACTCTTGCAGGAGCAAAACTTGAATCGATTGCTTACCAGCCCTGGCGTGGACTAACCTGAACATTCGCGGAAAGATAGGTGCATGAGTGTTAACTAGGAGACTGGTGTGATGGGAAATTGGTATGTCTGTGTTGAAATGTAGCTACTAGTATGTTGAACCATCCGGTTTAGAAAATTACTAATCCTATACACCATAACATATGTTTTGGACTAGTTTTCGACTACTTAAGACAATTTTTGTTACCATATCGAAAAACAGTTAGCAGTGCTTCAGTTGACAAGCCTACTGACACTACAGATTTTACGAGTTGGTCCTAGTTACAGATTCTATAAAGGCCGGGCAGTGCACGAGATGGGGAGGTTACTCGCCTTACCTAAAATCGTTGTCCCGGTCCGATGAATACCTCTGCTCCAACCAACTCCCACGTGGTGAGGCTCGACTGTATTGAGGTAGGATAGGTTCTCCTCTGGAATAATGGTCTTCACGATACCGAGGGCAAGGTTGCTCATTCCATGTATGAGGCCTGGCCTGGTTGCTGTTTTCTTGGCGCTGGTCTGGTGGTCTTCTGTATGCTTCTCCGTACCACTGTAAATCATTCGGTGCCCATTCGTGTGATGCGGCTGGGCGATGGAAATCCCAGTCACGGTGTAAAACGCCAGGCTGCAGAGAATTGTAACCTGGTGACTAAAACCAATGAGCGTTGATAAACGGTACGTCACAGCTCAAACTGCACAAATGGTTCAACACAAAATAGTCTAAATCATCAGACTGTGGAATTCTGTTCATCTGCTTGTCCACCAAAAGTTATGAAAACCAGAGTGTTTAATTTTTTTCGTCCTAATGAACTTTCCACATATTTTCTCATCCTTAGATAGATCTTCTCAGAAAAGGCTGACCCAATTAAAGCGTTTACAGCGCCCTTGCATACCAGCGACTCCTTCGGGGATAATTTATTCGAAAGAGAACCCGAAAAGCTTCTTTCATATATACCATGCTTAGGTAGACCAGCGGAAACAGACCGGTATGTGTTCATCAGATATCAGTATTACTGCCAGTAGTATCAATATTTAAAATATCCACACATCTCCACCGTCAGACTCCGTTCCATAAGAAGTTTACAAACAAGATGTGGAAAAATGAGGCCCTTGGGCTATTATACCAAACGCCTTCGCCTATCTCTCTCTCATGTTTTAGATGGAATATGATAGCAAATACAAATAACTGCGGTGTACATGCACCATATTTGGACACGAATACCTAGACTTACTTCCAGATATTGTGAAGCTGGGTGGACATAATTCACCGAGGTTAGTGATCCCATAGAATGCACCACATCACCACCGGTGTTCTTCCACTTTGTATGGCTTACAGGTGGCTGTTGGGTCATAGTTGGCACTGAGAGATTCCGTCGCCGTTCACATGCTGGTTGGGAAGACCACCAAGTGTTGTTGAGTGGTCTTCGTGGTAGGTGTGATTCGATTTCCCATTTCTTTTCAGGATGTATCAGATGGTGTGGGACGTAAGGATTTGGCGCGAATAGATCGGGAGATGTGGGTGGATCCTCAGTTGGTAGCTGATCATTCTACGAAAGTAGCATAAACAACACAAGTCGAAACATCGCCAGATGTAGCGCAGTCCGTGTTTCCGTTGGATATGAGAAACAGATAAACTTTAGATAACTAATATGTGTATAACCTTTGAAAGACTCACTATCAGGGTTTACGCTAACCGCCATTTGAAATCCCGATATTTCTAGTTCATCGTGTTACTATGAAACTATCATCCCCACCTTCACTGAAGTGGTGTTTGTAGGTGTACCTATCTTTTGAACACAGAACTAGTTGAAGCAGTCTCTGAGTAAGAGCTGCAGCTGACCTACCAGTTTCCACTAAGAAAGTCATGTATTTTGCCTTCTGTGGACTGTTGTTTGTATGCGCCCAACTGCCTCTAAGTTGACTATTTTACGCTCTGGCTTGACTAAAATAAGTGGAGCATTTTCATTCCGATACCCGTGAGATCTTCCTATTCCACTCAAAACTTGCCTCCATAATCTGTCCACTCTGGGGGCAAACTGCTTCAGTGGGGAAAATCCTGGGACGCTCTCAAATTTGTGTGGGTGATTTGTGATGACAACGAACACCGGGGTTGACAAGGTAGCTCTAGTTCGGGTGGAGTATGCTTCAACTGTTTTGCGTAATAATAACAGCCTCACAGCGTTTTCTGGACACCCATTTGTCCATTCAACATTGCAGTTGTTTTGTATATATGTGGCCATGCTTTGAGGAGGTAACATCATTGCACCAGTGAATGGGTGTTTTTGCTTCGATATGTACATATTTCTGTTACTTAGTAATATATTTTCTGTTCATCGTGAATGGTTGGTTTCACCTAATTGTTTCATTCAATTTGTTTCATTCAATTCTTTATTGCTGTATAATGTGCCCAAGTTTGGTTGATAACGCCAATCAGAAAGAGTTTCTAATCTAGACGAGTTAATTTCAAGAACTGATGAGTTCACCGGGTAAATAAGTCAACTTTGCAGCACAGATGTCCATCATTCCAAGATATTTATACAAGAATGCTTTGAATTCTTGCGATTCTAATCGCTTTCTGGGAACTTAATCAACAAGAACAGCAACATCAGACTGACACTGATACTTCACTGTTTATTTATTTAATTATACTCAAAGTCCCAAAGTGAGAAAGAGAGGAAAGAACCAACGAGGGCAAGATATGGTGCTAGCCTCCCGCAGACACTCTGAGATGCTTACACCCCAAAATACCCAGTCAGACAAACTAAAAAGAGACTCAGGGCATGGCTGTCACCGATATTGCAATGACTCCATCCAGGCACAACGGGAGTGCAAGGAGGCCCCATCGTGGATAGTGATTCACACTAATAGCAAACTCCTCGTAAACTTTCTCACCTCCTTCTGCCTGTTCACACGTTGGCCACTTCGCAGTTTTCACCATTTTGAAAGAGACTTGAAGAATAATTCTCGTTTTAGCAGATGGTTTAGAAACCTATTACATAAAGATATGCAGAGCCGTTTGGGAACTTTGGTAAGAGGGAACAATAACCATATAGGTAAACTCGGCTTCCCACAACACACCTCCATGCTGTCTTCCCAGTATCGAACCAGATCTGGTGATATTGGCGGTTGGCTGATTTGCTCACCAAATAATTTTGTGTTCTGATGAAATTTGCTTGGGTCGAACTCAGTATCCAGTTCCTCATTTGATGGTGCTGAACGAGAAGGTGAGTCTGCATCAACATCTGGTCTGGAGTATGACGGTGACCGGGTGTGGAGGCCTCTGCGAATAGTTAAAAACGTCTTTGTCAGTCTCACCTGATTTCATTGACATCAGATACTGTAATCAAGGTATTATTACCTAAGCCAGTAGGGATGCAAAACGTGACAAAATAGATCACAATATTCAGTGCCGGTAATTCGTGACAAAATGGGAAAATTATAAGTAAATGGACTTACTCAGTTGATGGGTACACTCAAAAAATTCACTAACTCTCTAGCATCAAAGGACCTAAAAAAATGTTATCCCACCAGATGACAGTATTTCATAGCCTCGAACAATGCAATTAACAACAAATAATTCCCCAACTAAGGCCCAGGAGCCTTTGAACTCTGAGAGCTCCTGGTTTATTAGTTGAAACAGCCGAACGTTAAGACCACAAAGTATAATCGTTCACTTTGTAGGCTCATTGGGGGACATCCAGCTTCCTTGTCAAATATCTCAAACTGTTGAGGGTCCAGGGATCTAAACAGTCACACTTTTCTGAGTTGTGAAACTCAAAACACTTAATGTGTTTTCATCCTAATCTATGCTCGTGCAAAATCTATCGCAGGATCACTCCAGAACGATGGACTGGCGTGCCCTTATTACCTACCACGACTGCATGTATCGGTTTCTGGTCTGAGGACTTAGTCCTAACTTGTTCCACATTTGGATGGTTTTAAAGTTCGGCAACAGGAAGGAATCCGCTGCACCATGTACAAATAGTTGTTCGGTCGCGTTGCTGTTTACTCCAACAAGGCACCAAGCTGTTTCTGAAGTAACAAATGTAGTGTCTTCTGTGTTGACTTCTAGGCTAACTGAGTACATTAATCATATAGGTTTGAAATCCTGCAAGAAAAACGGGGAGTACCCCAAATCCATCACGGCAGATGGAGTTTATACGCCAAACAATACCAATTCATGTGCTGCAGACAGTTTGAATTGAACGTTCAATAAAAAACAGCCTGCATGAGGATTGCGCTTCGTGCTTTAGCTGAGGGTCATCGGGTCAATCTTAAAGGTATGCACAACTCGAAAAGGAATGCTGATAAACAATCGCGGCAATTTGATGCTAATTATGAGGCTATCTGTGTACCATATTCTCTGACCCAACCTGCTTCACCACAAAAATCGGGTTAGTCTCGTGACTAGGCAATATGATCTCTAATTCAGGAGGAGCTATCCGCTCACCACTGGCCGCAAACGCACACACACACACACAAGGTAAATTTGTTCCCACCATTGACAACCGGTACTCATACACCGGCCAGCATTTTCTTGCTGCTTTGCTGAGGTTCACAGATCTCCGAAGCCACAGAAAATAGCGAAAAAGTAGCTTTTTCGAATGACAACTCGCTTTGAAATTGTTGGCATTTTTACTACCGGAAATGTTTCTGTTTGTAAACACTCAGAAGGTGAAAAGTTCTTCCAACTAATTGCCACGCAAAACAATGATCAGAAAATAAAAAAACTGATGTTGTCCTTTCAGATACACTTTATGGTAATCTGACAGTAATTCGCGTTTAATATCGGAAGATACAATTATGTCCTTAAGACAAGTGGAATGATCCCATGAATCTAGACTACCTATTTGACTAAACAAAGTGACGGTACGCAAATCATCGCCGGGAAGGAACGATTAGCTTTGATCACTACGGACACCACATATCTGTCCCCTTGAGTTTCGAGTCCTCACACATGGAAAGTAGCGGTGATTCTTTTGAAAGACAGTGCAGTAGCAAACTTCGTCCTAATGAAGGCATGCTCAACTGTTTTTCGGTGGGTCGCTCTCATTGATCATTGCGGTGACATTTTACCTTAACTGTCTGCAGCGCGTGAGTATTTTTCTAGCCCAATCGCAAACCTTACTGTAGGGAGAAGATCACAGTGAGTCCAGCCGAGGAGTTATTCTTTTTGGGGCTGTATTACATAAAGTACTGCTCGCCACAACAATCATCTTGACTCACCGTTCTCTGGCTGCTTGTAAGAATTCGCCAATTATCTTCTCCACTTTTGATTTCTGTGATCCAAATCGACTGGCTTGAATCCTTAGGATGCGGAGGGAAAATGAGTGCATTTTATTTATTGGGAAACGGTTAAATTACTAAGTTTGAATGCAGTACAGCAGTACAGTACTATCGTTGTCAAAGTAGCAACCTTGAGCAATGACTAAACCTCTTGAAATGATCTATTTAGAAGGTTAGCCGAATGAATAACCCATAATCTCCTATGTGGCTTTTCTCTCTATTCAAAAATCAGTCGTGTTCTCTTCTTTTTGCATAAGAACAACCTGATACCGCCGTATTTTTTTGATTTTATCTGTTGAATAACTTCCTTATGTCCAATAAAGCCACCAATATAATATTGCAGGAATGTACCCCTCTATAGCGCCCCTCCGATATCAGCCATTCCTCTTAAGCGAATTCTGGTAGTCGATTCTACCCAATTACGGGCGTGATAGTAAAATCAAGTGGCAAAACTTAGATTAGACTTTACAAAACGCGTTTTCTTTCATCTAAACTTACGTACACATTTTGAATAGCATATGATCATTCACTTTACCCATCGACAACTACTATATAATTTCGGCGGCCGTAGCGTTTATATCTTCGTTGTTAATCCTTTACCATGTGTAGTCACGACCCACATTGGCCGATTGGGAAAAGAATAGGATTTCTTTTTATTAAACGAGAAACGAGGGCGGTTTTGTGTTGAGTGACCGGATTGGGGAATGCGTTGGCTCATCTGAAATGGAGTAAGAACGGATTTGTTATTAATGAAAATGAATAATAATCACTGACTGGCTGTGGGTCTCTGGTTTGGAAACTCTGAACACCTACTTCTTCAATGTTAAGATTCTCAAACTGTTGTAATGTGGTTGTCAAGCTTNTGGTTTGGAAACTCTGAACACCTACTTCTTCAATGTTAAGATTCTCAAACTGTTGTAATGTGGTTTGTCAAGCTTGAATGCCATTTAGTGGCTTCCTTTGGACACATCTCACCCCAGTGCATATGCCAAAAATAATTCACAGTTGGTTGATGCTAAATGAATGTCTAAACCCATTGGTTCGGATTCACATTGCACAATTTTATGCTGATTTTCTCCAAATACTAATCTTTCCGTTTATTTTAGCTGGGAGGTTTTTGGTGTGCATCTTTGTTCAAAGCATTATCGACTTTTTTCACCGTTGTTCATAAGTTTGATGTCATCGATATTTCCCAGTGGTCCCAGAAAGGCTATCTCAGAAATCCGTAGGTGCGTAACCATCCAAACCAATTTAACTTGGTCCATTTTCCTGCTACATCAGGGTAGTTTTCCGGTTGGCAACAAATAAGCTGGTTGTTGTTCCGCGTACACTGCTATCTGATTTATCCACTGATTGATCAGATATTTCAGCTTGTAGTTCGTAAGTGATGATTAAGTTCTGGAATTTTAATCGAGAATCAACCCTGTGGGTAAGATCATTTTATTCTGGATAATAGCCCAGAGGTCCTCTCTGGCTGTCTCTACATTGCTGGGACTCGTCAGCTCTGACCAGTTCACTAGTTTCCAACCGACATGTTTATGCGTAGAGTTTGACGATCCCACACATTTAAACACATGATGACCTTCGGCAATGTTGTTGTTAGATGCACCAACTCTTCCCAAAGCTCAGCAGCTTCTTTCATCACCTGGGGTAACACTGCATTTCAGTGGTCTATCTATGATAGGTCCAAACGAAGTGAACAGACTTGAGCGTGCAGCCTCAATGATGAGCTAATAAACCCTAAACGAAAGACTGGAAGTTGCCTGTGCTACACTCTCTATCCTTGATTTTACCAATGTGATAACAAATGTTCACCTCGTTCAGGGCGATTTTAGATGTTTACTACGTGAGTGAGCAAAATTAGTCCAGGTGGTCTGGTGGTGAGCCTTGAGGGTCTCAGTTCGTTCCAGTTTTATTAGAACAGCAGGAAAACACAGTAACTCAAATTTCGTCCCTTCTGGTGTTGTCAGAATATTCTTTTCTGAAGCACCGAAAAACAGTTACCGCTGGTTCCATACAACATACTAATGAAAACCCGATTTGTTATCCCTCAAAGTGAAGGAGCACTTGCATTCCAAGGTAATTTTACAGACCTCCTAAACAGAACAAAAGTATAGCATGCCAAAAAAGATTGTCTTGAAAGGATAATTTTGTTGCTTCAGTGACTAAGCAGTTTCCACCGCTTCTGGTTTGTGGCACCTTCATTTAATTGCAAGGTAGATGTATCACTGTGATTATACCCATCGTGAATCAGAATAATCACACTCAACATGAAAATACACCATCAAAATGTGGTAGGGACGAATTCGAACCCCATAAACTATCGTCTATTGCCCGATCATTACGCTTAATATTTCTCCAAAAGTGGTATCACATACATTTTGGGCGTATGAACGATGCCGAATATCTTCGATTAACTTGTCGACAGCGAGCACAGCCCTCTGAGAACACCGATCGTCATACACGTTTCCAAACTGGCTCCACTGGAGACTGGGCAATTTCGAACAAGGATCCGATTCTTTGCCTAACGGAGAGTGCGGATTCCGTGAGCGTTGAGCCCAACCCTGCAGAGGCGGCCTGTAACAAAAAGAACAACAGCCAGAATCATCAAAAATTTGACACCTTATGTCTAGCAACCTTGATAAAGTGCCGTCTACATCAGTGGACTAGAATATATCAGTGGATGGTATCCTGGATATGATTTGGAATTCCAGGTCCACACCCCACTTGGATACATCATACCGGGCTATAACTCTACGTCTTAAAATGATGTACACCTACTAACTGGATGCATTCTGCCCTTACCAAGATGGTCATAACTGTATAGCTTGTATTCTGGTGAATCTGTCATTAACATAAACATCGATAGTAAAACCAGATAAAAAAGTTGGTGCTTCGCCGACAAATCTTACAATCAGCCAGATTGTTTTGGCGTGTAACAATTAGGCATCTAGTAAGGTATTTTCAAAGGTAACTAAATATTGTCGGGTAAACTCTGCAGGAAAAGAAGGTAATGAATCCCAAATTACATATCAAGAGATTGAGTGTGAGTGCTTGCCAAATCTCTGTTTGAATAAAATTAATGGACAGTGTCGAGGAGAGATCTCACTTGGCTGATTGCACGTTAGCTAAAGGCCCTTATTTACAAGGTATCTTCCAACAGTAGTCCAAAACACGGTATTTGGGATCACCAAAAGTTTCTTTTTGACCGACTGTGAATTTTGCTTATGAACAGATGAGTCTCACAGGTGGAAAAATTAGATTTCCTACGTTTGCACTCAAGGTCCAAGTGGGTGTTGTCCAAAGTCGAAGTCGCTTACCTTAAAATGCTTTCATCGGTACGTATATTGATTTTCTACTTTGATGGTATACTTCAGAGCCGTTTAGCCTGTGAGGACGATAAATTCTTAAGTACATCCAAAAAATCCAAACAATCGCACCTTTATTCTTTTCTCCACAATGATGCTTTCAATGAAATCGTGGTTGTAAGGCAGCGAAGTATCGATGTTGAACACTGATGTCATGTTGTAGATGATGATGACATCCAAGAAGATTAGGTAGAACAATCCCACCTATGCAATCATACACCTGAGACTTTTCAAAACAGAATATTAAACATCAACGTTGAATGAAATGCTCAGGCTAGTGTCAGTAAATGTGTATCTTAGAGCCCTTTACCAGGCAAATCTGAAACAAATATTTCGGCACATTGAGCTCTTCTTTCAGAACTGAAACGGATGAAGAACCATTCTCCTCACCAGTCTCAAAAACTGTGTAAAATATGTTGTTCCTCATTCTGTTTGGGGACAATCAGACTTCTGTATCTGAGCTACGTGATTCGTTTTCATCCACTTGGTTGCTTCAATCGCTTGACGTTTTTGATATTTCTTAGATATTGCTTGGGGTGGCTGACAACTTTTATCTTCATGAATTTTGAAAAGCTTTTTAATTTCAGGTGGCTTAGTGCGCATATTGGCCCCAAATGAGGACCATCCTGAGACCTCGATATGGGAAAATTCCTATGTAATTCGTTGTTCTGTATTTTGACGATAACAAAGGAATCAGTTCGTTTATACGCACCCATTATATTAACTTCCTGACCAGTCATTCGATCTAGCTGTATCTCCCTGAAAATGAATATTATCTGTTTGCACAAAAACGCTTGTATGCTTTCAAAGCGTGCAAACTGTAGCCTCGTTCCTGTGACCTCCTTTCCTCTCTATACCCATTTTTATTCTGGCCCTGGATGTCTACTGTTTGTCATAAGACTTCATCATCGTCATCATAATCACCATGGGCAGTATCAAATTAGTAACTTTTGCTGTCGGATAACGTGACAAAAAAACAAGGCTTTAATAAAATGTACCAGAACCAGGAAAATACGTTTGCTACAATCAATCCTAAGAGCAAAAACTGGGAAGAATGGTATTTAGAGCATTCTGTTGACGTCTGGGATGAGACGCCAGCAGGAGATTTTACGCGGCCACTGTTACTGAACTCATAGTGAATGCCTCAGGGATTCCTATGTGCAACACACGCGTTGAGACTCAGACAATCCAGTAATGTCAGAAGATACCACGAAGGCTGGGATAAGTTGACAGATGCACACTTTTCAGCGGGTCAACTGACTTCGTCTAGAGAAACATTATTGATGACATGCAGATCCCAACGGTAACTAAGAAAATGACACCTGCAAAAACGACAAATCGGACAGGTGGACTACTTTCTTGGGTTACTCGCGGCTGATTGTGTATGTAGAACAGTCAACTAGAGAGATGTCATGGTGCACGAGAATCAAGGTTTAGTCTCTTTGGGCTAATGGTCCTTACTCACTTGACATTGTACAAATGGCCAAACGTCCAAAATGCAAGGTCTATCAGCAAACGGGTGTAAGCTGACAAAGACTTTTCCCCTTGTGGACAAACTTCATTATGCCAAAAGATGCTGCGTTATTACAAACGCATGCCTAAAGATTCATTGATTATGCTGCGTAACCTTTCACTAGAACACCGTAAACAATGTTGCTAGCCAGTTTTCATGACAGAAATGA